GCATTTCACTTCATTTGCTTCACAACCGCATACAGCGAATAAGCACCTTTTAGAGTTGCAAAAAATGTATCCAAATTAACAGGAAATAAGCCACCGGCAAGAATAATTTGTTTGCGTAGCGTCTGCTCGGCGAAAATGCGAAGATTTTTCTTAAAAGCAGCACTTTGATCCATCCAGTTGCATGAAAATAAGGCATAGGTCAACTTTTCGAACTCCATCTCCGCACAGGTGCCATAGTAGCATTGCGGAAATATTTCCATCGAAATCGCCACTAAATATACCACATAGTAGATATACCATGCAACATCATTCACATAGAATAGCATATAAAAAATTACCACGCACATGTTAATGCCGGTGGCGAGTAATTGCGCGAAAGTACCAACCGATACAATCGATTGTATAGTAGCGCGAAAGCTAAAAAGTAACAAAAAACAAGTAAGAAAGCCTAAGTTCGGGCAGAGCCGAACATTAAATACCCGGCGCACGTATTAAATATATGTTTTTCGCCTTACCGAAAGCTACGGCTATATGGTAAGCCGGGGCGTATCAATTTTGAGTAAATTAGAGTCCTTAGATTTCGAAATTTTGAAGTTTCAAGCAGTTCTGAAATTTACCGTTATATGAGAAGCGGCCGTTATTTTAGTCCGATTTCAATAATTTTCAACGGTTTGCTTATATGTGGCAAGCACAATAACCACACCGAGTTTGGTACAAATTGGTAGAACGGTTACTGAGATACATATATGTGATCATAAGTGGGCGGTGCCACGCCCATTTTCCAAAAATTTATCACAAACGTATTTCTTGGTAAAGAATTGTTGCAAGCATCAATTTTGAATAAATTAGCTTCAATATTTACTGATTTATCGAAGATTTTGTATTTCTCTAAATTACCGTTATATGGGATGTGGGCGTGGTTATCGTCCGATTTTAAAAATTTTAGGCGATTTTATATGCTGTACCAGGGCCGATAACTGTGCCAAGTTTGGTAGAAATTGGTACAGCGGTTACCAAGATATACACATGTAACCATAAGTGGGCGTGGCTACGCCCATTTTCCAAAAATGTATAATATTATTATTTTTTGCCAAAAAAATTATTGTAAATACTAATTTTGAGTGATTTATCTTCAGTAGTTACTAAAATATCGCAGTTTTCGTATTTCTGGAAATTACCGTTATATGGGAAGTGGGCGTGGTTACAGTCCGATTTCGCCCATTTTCAATAGCAACCTACCTTGGATTAAGGGAAGCCTACATACCAAATTTCGTTGAGATATCTCAATTTTTGCTCGAGTTATCGTGTACACGGACAGACGGACAGACGGACAGACGGACAGACGGACGGACAGACAGACATGGCTTAATCGATTTCTTTTTTCATCCTGATCATTTATGTATACATTTGTCTATATCTATCTCGATTCGTTTTGGCTGTTACAAACAACCGTTATGTGAACAAAATTAATATACCCTTGTGCACAAGTGCGCTCGGGTATAAAAAACGAAACGTTAACTTCACTGAAACTGGAGCATCAATCAAGATCAACATACTCGAGTAAATCCTTGTAGTCCTCAATGCATTGCTGCAGTTCAATGTTGTGCGCATTTGTCGATTGTTTGCCAATACGCGCCACACGTATGCCCAGCAAACGAATGTGACCAGCTAGCATTGCTAATACCATCGACGGAAAGCTGTCAGTTATGCAAGTTTGAAAATTCATTACTACTCCAGAAGCCTGATAGATATGCGCCACCGCGTAATGCCAAGCACTCTGCTCAATTTCGAATGGAAAGTATGCCGGATTCATGAGGCGCCACTCACTCATAATGCCAACTATGATTGTCGCCATTTCGGAGGCCGAAAACGCAGAGAGGGACATGGTAATAACAAAGATCAGCACCCGCTTAACCGAAAGCAATATAGTGGACTTGTACAGTTTAATATCATCCGGATGAGTTATACGTCTGTCGAGTTTCAAGATTATGTTGTAGGTCTTGCGTACCTGTGGTAGCCGCCACCAGAAAGCAATAATTTTGATACTGCATGCGATACAAGTGAAAGTCACGCACATATTTTTGAAAATATCTGCTTTTTGCTGCATTTTGAAGAGTCCGATCATCAGGTGAGTAGGATAGCCAATGGTTATGAAGGCATTTAAAATGAAAGAATACAAATAATATAGATATCTGTAGCGAGTTGTTTGTGGTGGTACTAGTCCCAGGTATCGTAGAGTGACATCCTGAAAACGAAAAACCGATATACCGGATATTGAGGCAGTATTAAGAACTGACATGACCGAGCGAATATGAATACTGACTAGAAGTGTACAACAGGAAATGACGGTATTTGCCAGCTGCACACGGTGTATATGTATTTTACGAACTGATAAATGTAGAAGCCTATGTAACCCGAATATTTAAAATTGATACTTAAATGGTTTGCATAATTTATTTCTCTAATTGTTAATGAGAGCAATTATGTATATAAGTAATTTATTTTATGTAATAAAATTGCTGAGATTACGAAGTGAGAGAAATTTAATTTAAATTTGGGGTTATTTCTTTGGGGTATGAAAATTGGGGAGTATGAAAATTAGGGGGTATAAAAATTAAAAAATAAAAACCTATATTTGACGCTTACACATTTCCTAGTGCTTGGCCAAGCTTCTCCTCCGCTCATACATATAAATTTACTAGGTATTTTCCAGTTTTTACGTTTTGTTGTATATGGGTTTTTCCATGATGTCGGACGTGACATCCGTACGACTTTAAGAGTTAAATAAATCATACGAAAACGGAAGTCACTTATAAAAAAGTGTGGCGTTGTGCAGCTTTTATACCGTTATTTTGTTAACACAAGAGTTAGGTGAGCTTGGAACATTGGTGTCGGGAAAATCAATGAAAAGGAGGTCATAACGGACGTGACATGTAAAAAAGGAAAACTCTGCGAATCCTGTGCGGTTTTCCTTTCAATATTTTTGCTAAAATAAAACATACAGTGACGAATTTGGCACAGTGAATTTTTCTCAATATATGCAACTTTTTTTGTTATAATTTATATTTGATAATTTTCTTATAACAATATAGTTTATAGGTACTATACCAAAAACATAAAAATAAAATCTCTAAACTTTGTGCAAAACTTACGAAAATTCAATAAATTTGCAACTTTCTATTCTATAATTATTTAATTTTAGTATAAAAAGTAATTTGTCTCAGGCAGGCTCTTCCATGCAAAGTATGTTCGACAATTATATTTTGTATGGAGAAAATGAGCAACACCTTCCACTTAAAAAAATTGCCAAAAATACAACGCGCTATAAAACTGCGTATTTAGAATTTTTCTAAAAAATAGAAAGTTGCAAATTAGTATGTAAATTTATTTAATTTTCATGAGATTTTTTTGAGATTTTATTTTTATGTTTTTTGGTGCATATTTCGGTGTATGAAATATATCTTTATAACAAATTATCGAAAATAAACTACAATAAAAAGCTTTGCATATATTGCGAAAAATTCACTGTACCAATACTTTTGTTCGTCACTTTATATAATTTAATATTTGATTCAATTTTTTCAGTTCTTCTCTCCTCCGTTTCACGTTTTCCTACCCTTTTTACGCCATCTGAGTACGCAATTCAAAGTTATTTAATTCGTGCAAACCCATTTACTTGCATTTTTAGTTTACATTTTCATGGAAACACCCATGTGTGTTATACATTTCTGCATACATATGTACATACATACAGTGACGAGCAAAACTGTAACATGGTGTAGCACTTTTTATTTCAGCCATCGCTATATTTCCAAGTTTTAACGACTTTCATTCTTTTGTTGTATATTCTTGTTGGTACATCCCTACTCCCTCTCTCATAACGATTTGAAGTCAATACAACAACAAAAAAAAACCCAGCAGACAAAAATGTAAATTAAGGCAGATGTTACAGTTTTGAAGTGTAAAGTGTCACACCATGTTACAGTTTTGCCCGTCACTGTATGTAGATATGCGTAGGAGCAAAGGTAAGGGCCGAAACGCTCCAAAATAATTCTCATATACCAGCACAAAATTCTTTTAATTGGCCTTTCCATTTGATAGCATTTGCAACTATCGATAGTGATGTGAAATTTCAATTGGAGAAACCGTTTAAAAAATAACGAATACTCCCTGCAAAAATCGTTGGACCATGTAGTCTATTTGTGGTATATTGGAGTACTTACAAAAGTGCTCCTCTGTCATGCTGTAGCGGACCAACTCGTGTCTCTGCACCAGCTTATTGTTACCCGATCACTGCTCGTGTTTCAACGACATGTGATTGAAGTTAAGCATTTGAAAGTACATTTGCATGTCTGGCTGTAGCTGAACGTGTAGAGATGCCAGCTGTTAGTTCTTAGCTCCCAGCATGTTCGGGTTCGAATGTCGTCAGAGCCTACATGCAATTTTTAATTTTTGATTTTGGTTTTTATTAATTTCAAAAAAAGCATCTGTGAAGTGAAGAACAAAAGCGTGTTCAAATGAAAAAATATAACAACAATGTCATTGGAGTATGTTGGAGTAGTTTTGTGCTACTCTGATGTAATGCAGAGATGGAGTATATGGTCCTGCCCTAAGACGTCGCAATGTTAATTGGACCATATTTTTTATATGAATTGTGGTTAATTTTGGAGTACTCCTTGGTCCTTCGGGAGTACTCTTTACATGCATTCATGGAGTAGTCGCGATTTTTGCAGAGCTATACTCGAACTGTTAGAAATGCTTTTTAATAAGACCCTAGGCATTCAGTAAAGGAATTTGCATCGTCTACTTATAAGTGCCAGCACCTCTTTTGGCAAGAGGAGACATTTTGGAAAGAACCCTATCTCGAAAAAATTTGTTCGGACCACCTTAATCTACATAAGTGCAGCATTGCATATAGGGTGCATGCAGGCGTGAGACAAAGGGGCGCAATTGCGCAATTTTGCGCTTCTTTGTATGCGGCTGAACCCGCTCCATTCATTTGGACTACAAATTACGGGTTTTTTAAATGTCTCCATTTCAGCGCCATCTACAGGCATAATTTTTTTATCGGACTATAAATTAAGGGTTTTCTAAATATTTCGACCCAGCGCCACATAGTGGGTCTATATTTTGCGAACGTATGTATTTCGTATTAAATTAAAAATACTTGTTACGAAAGTAAGAAAAATCGGACCATAAATATGGGTTTTACTAAATATCTCGACCTCAATAAATTTTTTGCAAAAGTGTTTCTAATTACATAACAAATGTACTTATATATATTTCTAAATCGGTTAGTAAATATGACTTTTATAAATAACTCGATTCTAGCGCCACCTAGCTAGTGTTGATCCGATACAAGTAACTTTAAGTAAATACAAGGATACCTTCTTCTGTACTGAGTACTTTTTCTACTCGAATCCTTCCCGCAATTACTGAGGAGGGTATCGAGTACGCGGTTTAAGTATTTACTTGCTTTTCCACCTATGTATGTATTTAGAAGTTCGGTTTGGACAATAAATATGTACAAATACGTATAAACATGCACAGGCCCTTTGAATGTTATAATGAGTTCGATGCGAGTAAGTATCGTGTACTTCCCTCCGATACATTTGTAGCATCGATACTTTTCTTCGATATTTTTAAAGAGTACAGGAATCGAGTACATAGATGGCGGTATCGGAACGACACACTTCTTGAAGTCTATATTGAGACCAGATACATACATATGTAAAGAATAGCCTCCAAAATTTTGACTGAAAACTATTCAATATTTGTTGAGCCAAGTCCGAAGAACGAAAACATACATATGTATGTATGTGTACTGTTTTCCATCGGCATATTTTAAGACTTGCACCAAAATACATATTTTGGAAAAATATTAACATTCACGTAAACTGGACGGCTTCGAAATACCTCAAAATCGCGCTTTTTTACAAAAAAAAATCGTTTTTAAAAAAAAATTTTTCAAAAAATCACCTGATGACAGAAGAGTTTTACCTTTGGAATCAAAATAATGAGATTTTTGGAGATAATTTCAAATCGGCCTAGCTCACGTAAATCTTCGGAAAAATATTTTGTTTAAAGTATTATGGCCTTATTCATAAAAAATAAAGTAGGTTTAAAGAGCTTTATAAAATGACGTTTTCATACATTTCTCAATTTATAAATAAGGCCATTAATATAATACATTTTATAATTCCAGTGGAAAACCCCCCAACTTTTTTGGGAATGCACCCCAAATGTATGTATGTACATAGATTATTTTCGGTCCCTGGTAAAAAGTCGTTGCGAACTGTTTGTATGTTTTTTTTTGAAATTAATTTATTTATATAGACATCAAAGATGAATTAATGATATGTTCTCCACTTGCCATCTTTCGATGAGTTCATAATTCCCCATCCTACATACATATGTAGTTAGGTATTATTCTTTCGTAAAGTTTTAATTCGCGATAAAACACTCTGCACAAAAAATTACTGCATTTCACTTCATTTGCTTCACAACCGCATACAGCGAATAAGCACCTTTTAGAGTTGCAAAAAATGTATCCAAATTAACAGGAAATAAGCCACCGGCAAGAATAATTTGTTTGCGTAGCGTCTGCTCGGCGAAAATGCGAAGATTTTTCTTAAAAGCAGCACTTTGATCCATCCAGTTGCATGAAAATAAGGCATAGGTCAACTTTTC